GTTTTTTTTTTTTTTTTTTTTTTTGAGACAGGGTCTATGTAGTTGAGACTGACCTGGAACTCACCTGTAGCCGAGGCTGGTCTCGAACTCACAGCGATCCTCCTGCCTCAGCCTCCCTGAGTGCTGGGGTTACAGGTGTGTGCCACCACGCCTGGCTGAAATAGGTACTATTCTTAACAAGTTTCCCAAGCCTGATCCCCAGAGAACCAGGTTTGTTTCATTTCAGCTGTGTGGGACCCCTCAGGTGATTTGGAGGTGGGGGTCAATGGGTCTGATTCTCTACCATTATTTTCCCTTCTCCTGGGAAGAAGCAATTATTTCATAGCATCTTTCTTTCTTTCTGTCACTGTGCTGGGGATTGAACTCAGGGGCTCACACACACTAAGCATGTGCCCTAGCAGGGAGCTACATCCCCAGTCACCCTAGCAATTTATCAGCATGGCCTATATGGTTACAATTTTAGAGCAGCAATGCATTATTTAGGCTTATTTTTTCTTTATTTTTGATAAATTTTTAAAAATGGACTTCTTAAAGATAATCATGCTTTGTATGATATAGTACACTTACTGAATAATATTCTAGAAGCATTGCCTAAACCACACAAATAAATATAGGGCATGACAGTACCTAAGACAGCACACAGTTCAAATTTTTTTTCATGTCCCGTTGGGGAGAAAATAGTAATTCAATCCTGTGAATGTATGAAAGTGATACACACAAACATGAAAACTTACATGTGTTTAAAATCGATCAGGCTAGATTTAATAAGGCAATGGAATGAGATGGAAATTATATTTCTTTTTATTTCAAATTTCTACATTATTGGGGAAATAGAGTATCCATTACAGCTTCTAACTGAGGGACAGGAAGGCAGACATGAGGTTGGCAGGGGAGATTGGCAAAGAGAGGCAGGAAGCACTGCCCAAAGATCGAGTAAGTCCACTATTAATTTGGGAAGATTGTTGGACACACTAGTGAGGACAGAATTTAAACTGGAAAATTCCAAAGATCACTGCGGTCTTGAGTGTGGAATCTCTAGAAACTTTAATGTATCTAATGGGGGTTCTAAAGCATACTTTCAAATGCATTTAAAAATAAAAAAAATTAGCAGAAAATAAACAAAGACTTCCGCCAATTCCCCTTTGGACATGTGCCATTTTTAGATACTCATTTTCCCCCTGGTGTTATATAAATCTTACTGAAAATTATCAGAATAACGTTGGGGATAGATGAGGGGAGAGCAGCAAGAGAAACCAAAATGTCATTCTCCTCTTACTGAAGATGTGTGGAGAACTTCCACTGTCCTTCTGGGAGGAGGAATGGAATGTGGAAACTAGTTCCTGAAGTTTTCACTGGCTTCTGATACTTACTAGACCACAATATGACACCTAGGAACACTTCATTCTTATATAGCACCTGCCCTGTTCATAAGATGTAGAATTCTTACAGAGCTGTGAAATAGAGTGAGTAAAAATTACTCGTGGCACTTAAACAGGTTTAGAGGCTGTAAAATGCCTTCCTAAAATTCTTTGTCACAATGTCCTGGTGAGGTAGGTGTCTTGATAGGGGAAACTGAGGCACAGAGGGGATAAATCTGCTCGCCTTTCATTGTCTAATGAGCCAGTGGTCTAGCTAGAAGAACCAGGTATTTCAGTTCCCTAAACATTATTCACCCTGTATCTCAGAAGACTCAAACTAAACAACGAATACAACAGGAAATTTCTCTTTTCATACATTTTAACTAGTTAGCTGTTTCTTGTCACTTTGAATGTAAGTTACTCAAGATAAAACAAATATAAACATAACAAAAAGTCAATATTGCCTAACAGTCTGTGTCAAAATGCAGCCTATTCTGCACTGGCAATTTACGAAGCATATGATAGTATGGCTCAAGTAGAAGCAGCCCTGGGCCCGATGGTGCTCCTATTACTCAAGCCGGGCTGTGAGGAAAGTGTCCCTGTGAACACTGACTCAAGGAATAAAACTACCACCACATGGTAAACCATTCTGAAAGAGTCTACATAAGGCCGGCCCCATGTGGAAAGGGGACTCTCAGTCGTGTGTATGGGTATATTACTGAGTTCATGCCAAATTCAATGAAGCTAGACATGAAGGTCACAGTCTCCTGCCATGAAGCTCACAGGACAGTTCACATTACATAGAGGGAGGCAATGCCACGGGGGACATGCACTAGCACCATGCCACAGAAGTCAGCACAGAGGACGGGAGGCACCACACAAGCAAGTTACGGCCTCATCTGGCACACCATCTGCAGAGGCTATCTCTGGTGAGAGGAACACTGAAGAGGGCCTGTATTCCTTTCCATAGCAAGGAGAGGGATCAAGACAGAGCACTCAGCACCGGCTACTCTGAGCACATCACCTACCTAAATTTCGCCCCTATGTAAGTTGGTAACTTTCCTAGACCTTATAGATATTCAAAGATAATAAATTTCATTTCTTGATCAAAACAGACTAGCTTTGAGCCAAACTCGAAGGTCAGTTATAAGATGTGGATGCAGGGCTCCAGGGCAATTAACACTGCCACCCTTAGAATCAAATTCACGAGTACTTGGGGCACTAGCTTTTCAAAATTAGATAGTTCTTTTGAGAGAATTTTTTTCTATAGTCACCGAAGAGTGAATTCTACTCATACTGTGCTCCCTAAGTGCAAAATCTTATAGATTTGGCTCACATGACTGAAGTAGACCATGATGCCCAATCACATGCATGGCTTCTACCTTAACATGAACTCAAACACCCACCCTGCCAAGGCCTGTTGTCCCCTTGAGCTCATCTTCCAGAGGGTTGAGCCTGCTCTGTCCTCTGCATGTGTAGGGCCAGAGGGAATCATTCCAACTCAGAGTTTCACTGGGATACTAGGGCACAGCACAGTGGTAACTCATGCACTTTATTTCTAAACACCAAAGCTCAAATGAGGCTGAGCTGGTTACTGTGCGAGATGAACCAGCAAGACATTCTCACCTCGAATGAAAATCTGATTTATGTGTCGAGTGAATACCTGCTGGTAATCCACCTTGGGCTTTCGCTTTTTCTTTCGGGGCTGGCCCCGGGAAAGGGTGGTGGTCCTGGAAAAGGTACCTCCCACACTGGACCCTTCTGTCCTTGTAGTCCTCCCTGACAGCTCGGACCTGGACTCCTCCCTAGCAGAGGCCTGCAGGGAAGAAGGAACAGAGCGGGAACGCCTGTGGGAGCTTCGGTCAGTGTCTCCTCTTCCCCACACGGAAGCCACCTTCCAAGTAGATGTCTGCGAGTATCTGGACAGAGTGGAGTCTTCAACTGCAGACTTCGAATCTGCTTCCTTCTTGGAGGAATCCTGTAGTTTCAGCCGATCAAAGAGCTACAAGGAAAGTAATGAAAATATTAGCCTTCTCCTCAGCCTTCAACATCCCTCTTTCTATAGACAGAAAAACCCAGATTTCTTTTTTTGCTCTTTGGACTCTTTACATTTTAATTTTTAACAAGTTAGTAATAACTTTTCTATTTCTAGCCATAACTCATAGATCAGTAAGTATGTCAGGAGAAAAAGCATCTTATTTCTGTGATATAAAGCTGAAGGACTTGCAAATCTTACAAGAGGTAACTTGTATAGATAAGCAGGTTAGATGTCCAGAGGCACTGGAAAGCAGCTAGCTGGCAGCATGACAGGGGAGACTAATGAAGACTCAAGTACAGGCACACCTGGTTTGTGGGTAGGGGTTTCTCCCTAGACCATCCTGGTCGTGGGGCTCAGTGATCTTAATTCCTAGGCTGCAGAGGAGGTTAGCGGGGAACTGCCTACCCTCGTGAGAGTCAGCGAAGAATCCCGTTCGTATGCTTTGCCTAGAACAGGTTTTCTGTAGGTCTCATCCACATCAGTAAGTGCCTACAGGAACAGCCCAAAGGGGGAAAAGGAAGCAGAATTAAAAATAGTATTTTTAAAGCTTTTGAGGAAAAAAGACAGAATAATATCAATGTAGCAGAACTAGACAGGTAACTGAACACTTGGATAGAAGAAAATTACAGTATCTGTCAATTTCTGCCCAGGATTTCCAAATTGTTATCACAATACAAATTTCTCCTAGGTACAAAAATGGCCTTGATTACTGCATGGTAGAGGTTCTCAAATTTCAGTGTACAAAAATATCCAGGAAGCTTATTAAAATACAAATCTGAGGCTACTCTCTTAGAAGTTCTGATTCAATTGGTCTGAAGCCCAAAAACCTGTTTAAACCAGAAACCCCAGGAATCACAATACAGGACAGCTTTAGACACTTTCAGAAACACAACTGCTTCTTTACCTGCCTCAGTTTCTATGTCTTAGGACTGCAATTAACAAAGATTAACCAGGGTTACAGGCAGAATTACAGGTGAGTTCTCATCACTGAGCTTAACCTCCCAGGACAGCTGCTAGGGTCAAATGAGATTATATAACATAAATTACTCTGAAAATGGTAAATCACCCTACAAATAAAAGCTGATAACATCATCACCACTGTCAACAAGTATACTCTCTTAAATTCTTTCCTCTCAGAGGTAAAATTAAAATAATAAAGTACCAAAGTTACCAAGTAGTGAATCTGGGATTCAAATCTATGCCCAAGATTTGCAGACAGAATTTAAATTCTGTAATGGTTGAAAACATGGTCTTTGGAATTAAAAAAAAGACCCAGGGTAAAGTCTGGTACTTCCACTTGATAAACCTGTGACCTGGGACCAATCTTTAGTTTCTCTGGACTCAGTCTCTTCATTCGTGAGATGGGATAGTAACTGGACCTATAATTCATTCATTAGGCTAACATACAAAGCCCTTAGTAGAGTATGGGCACATAGCAAGTAGTTCATAAACTTATATTATCCAGGAGAATGAACAGATGGGATACAGAAAGGGGAAAAGGAAGGTTGGAGATGGACACAAACAAAAAACACTAGAAATCCTGAACAGTTCTGCTGACTATCTGAACTTATAGTTGCACTATTATTGCATACCCCTTCCCTTCTAATAATGTCTAGTAAGACAATAGGCATCCATAATGCTGGGAGTGTGTAGCGCACTCTTTTGTAAGGGAAAGTCCTGCAAAGTGTTTTGCTTATTAATGTCTATTGCACCTCTGTCTTCCCAAATACTGTCCCTACTACCAGGTTCGGCCAAAGTGGGAAGCTAATAATATTTTTAAATGAGTAAAAGAATGGTTAGCAGGAAATGAATTTAAAATTACTAAATTAGATAATTATTCTTGTAGGCTGGGTTTCTCAACTTTGGTACTAATGGCATTCTGGACTGGATAATTCCTTGGTGGGGGCCTGTCTTGTATATATTGTACGACTGGGCACTATCCCTGGCCTCTACTTATTAGATGCCAGCGGTATCTTGTCCCACAGGTGTGATAATAAAAAAAAGAAAAAATCCCCAGACATTGCCCAATGCCTCTGGGAGGGAGGGAAGAGCAAAAATTATCCTGGTTTAATACTACTGTCTTAAGAAAAAGGAAGCAATAAAAATAATTTTTGTTGTTATTGTCTAAGAGCATGTCATGATTTTAGTTCTGACAAGTTATTTTATAGTTTTGTTTAATAAGGCTACTCAGGTCTTTTAGACATGTAAAATATTTAATCTCTAGTAGATTCTCTACCCCCCTTAAGAAAGGTTAATTACCATATTCCAGAACTTGTCAAATGCTACGAGGAAGCCTGTACAGACACCCCGAAGTCCCTTGAAAGTACGGATGTGCACATTCACCTTCACCCCCTCCCGGATACAGCGATGAAGTTCACCCAGAGGGCTGCCTTCGTGCACTGCAACAAGGGAAGAACAGTCAGGACAGCAATGACATCTGCCTCCACTCCCAGAATTAACAGCCATGAACATCGGACCATGGCTGGCCAAACAAGGCAACAAGCACAGAAATAGCCTCACTTTCAAAACCAGAAGACCCTGAGAGTGATGTGGCTTGTACAGCCAACACACACAGAAATGCCAGATTCAACCAGAATGTGGGTAAATTATATGCATGGGTATTATGTAAATATATCTTTTATTCCATAATGTCACTGATTCTAAGATATATCACCATTTAAAAACTTTGTGAACAAAAAAAAAAACACATTAACTGTACATATCACCAGCTAGATTCTTCTCACTTCTACACATCGACATTTATTTTTTTAGCACAATTCTCAAGAAGCTGATATCTAGCTTGAGTTTTCCAAAGAACCTAAAAACTTGTTCATGTTTCTGAAATGAAAGGAACTGTGTGACTTATCTGCCTTTAACATATGCCATGCTCCCAATGAGAATGGCTTTATTCGCCCCACAGTCTGAGCTCCTCCATGAGCAAGTTCTTTGGGGTCACTGGTTTTTCAATGTTCACAATCTTTACACTAAGAAGAAAAGGACTGGTTGTAATCCAAGCCTTGATCCAAGGTGCAAAGGGTACCTGCTGATGAGCATCTGGCTCTTAGGAGATTGATAGTAAGAGCCACACGAAGAGAAGTATGACAATTCATGGGAAGAAAAATGGGATTATAATTTTTAGGTTTTATCACGAAGAACTTTTTCCTTAGAGCTTCAGAGCAGAGATGGATTTTTCTTACTTCATGTTAATTTAGCTCTCACAAAGTACTGGCTCTAGTATACAAAACCTCCCAAAAGAATACACCCCCATCCCCATCTACACACATAACCCTGATACAATGTATCTGTTATATTTTTCCCTCCGAAGTTTGCATGACAAAATTCTTTGGAGAGAATTTGTTATTAACAGTAAACAAAATAAAACAAAATACACCTCTCTCTTGGTTCTAGTTGCTTAACAGAGAAAGACTCATGCGTTTCAGTTTGGATAACTAAGGTGGTTCCTCTTGACCACTTTATCCCTCATTCATGAACTGCCATATAGCTGATGACCATGATTAATGAAAGAAAATACTCCTGGAAGAAAATTACTTAACAGATGAGAAATAGGAGTTTGTGTCAGGCTGAAAATTTGGCAGTAATGTACAGTTGGAGCCAAATAGCAGCCCTGGAAAGAAGAGGAGAACCTTAGTCTGACTAGTTAACTTTTATATTACTTTCAGGAATAAATCTCGATAATTAAATTTCTTGGAAGCTGATCACATTGCTGGATTATTCCCATAAGCATGCATACCTCCCTGCCTTCAAACCTATGTGCTTTTACAAAGAATGGAAACACTATTCTTTTTCTTTCTTTTTAGTACCAGACATCGAATTTGGGTCCTTGAACTTGTGAGACAGGCAGTGGAACCACTCAGGTAAATCCCCAGCCGTAAAACTATTCTTTTTCTAACTTGAAAAAAGAGGGCTATTTGTTCTTGCCCTTGTCCCCAAAACAGAAACGTCAAGCATTATCTTAACAGCTCCCATTATAATTAAATAAATGGTAAACTCAGATATTTCAACTTCTTAATTTTCTCTTCCAAACATTTTTTTGGGGGGTACGGGGGATCGAACTCAAGATCTTGTGCTTGTGAGGCAGGCACAGTGCCACTGAGCTAAATCCCCAGCTCTCTTCCAAAGATTTAACATGCTGTTAATTCCAGGGAACATTTCTCTCCTTGTGTGATCAACAATACAACAGCAGCACCACCTCTGAGCGCAAACAGTAAAGGCAGAAATGAATGAGCTCTCCATTCTAAATCAGAATGCATTCTCTAACAGTGCCTGAAACACTCCAAAAGAGATGTGCCAGGCTTCTAAAACTTAAGATGACATAAAAGCATATCCCTTATTTTTAAAGTTATTCTCACAAGTCCCCTCCTGTACTGCGACTATTCTTGAGCTATATCCTTCCAAATTCAGGTCATTTTTAGCCCATTCTTCCTTCTCCCTGTGTGTTCAGACATCAAAAATTAAGACCTGCTCTGTCCTTCCTCTTTCCACAGCACAGTGCAGCCTGGAACTGTGCTGATGATTTACTCTAAGTTTCCTGTCTCCCTTCACTCAGATCTCCAACATCATCGTCATGATTGCCACCATCATTATCACCCGTTAGCAGCCTTTGTTAGGGAATTGATCATGTTAAAGTATGCTGTGACGCCGCCTCACAGGCGGCATTCTCCTGGTACATCTTAGCTCCTAAAATGACCTCATGCCCTTATCTCTGGTTTCCCGCCCCCACCAAGGCCACAGTGGTCCAGGAAAGTTGAAACCTGTGTCTGCACGACTGGGCCCATAAAAGCAATCTGGCCTGTGATAGGTTAAAAGTAACTCACTCCTCATAAATAAGCAATAGCCCACCCCCAAACTGATAAAAGGACCTTCCTTTCTTTG